ACGAGGTTGAGTAGGAAAACTGAAAGGCAGCTTCTGAGAGAGAGCAGGGAGCAGAAAGTGGAGAGGAGCAGAAGGCGGGCTGCCCACTGGCCACCCTTCTCAAAGGTGTTTTATGGGACACAGCCAGGCAGTGAGACGCACTGGAGGTGGGACAACTGCAGTCAACTGGTGAGACTGCACGCACGGTCCCCTAGGTAACACTGGTCCAGTGAGAGGGAAATCACAAGGTGGACATGAGGTGGAACAAAACTATCATCAACCAATAAGACTATGACAAGTCCAGTTACTTAGGTAATACTGATTAAATAGGGATCAAATATCGAACAAGGGACAAGCAAGGATTTTCGGTAAGGGATCTTTCCTGGAAGAGCTTGGTCCCCACACAGGCGATTGATACCTATTTAGAATATCAACCACTTGGGGCTGGGGATTTAGCTCAGTGGTTCTGGTGCCTGCCTTGCAACCGCAAGATCCTGAGTTTGATCCCTGGTACCCCCCCCCAAAAATCAATCACTGCTATTCATCCTACACTGGAGTGGTAGTTTCTCTTCTTTTATGGTGCTGGCCTTCAGTGAATGTGTCTTGACTGTCCTCCACGTTGGCTCCTCACAGGCCAGCCCTGCCTAACTGCCTACGAGACATCTACTTAACTAACCTATCTACAATAAAATCATCACCAGTTTTCACTCAGACACCGTAGTGCAGCTTAGATGCTAACCGGGGAGGAGCTGTAAATGCAGGATTTCCCACAGGAGCATGGCTCCAGCGGACTGAGCTGTTCTAAGCTGGGGTTGCTGGGGAACGGATCACTGGGCACCTCGAACCTGCCCCATCTCCTGATGTCACAGACAGCCCCACCCTACCCAGACTGGCAGAGTATAGGCACTGCCCCCTCCCCAGGGGGTGCGGACAAACACTGCGATGAAAAGCTGGGCTTGTGTGTGCCTAGAGGGAATTCAGCGGCATCCACTTCCAGCCGAGGCCAACCAGCTGCAGCTGTGAGCTCATCCTCTCAGGACTTCCACGCTCAAACGCTGGCACAACCTGGCTCTTCTTCCTCCGGCCAGGAGAGCAGACGGCTGACGCTCTGAAGAGAGGATGCTGAGAGCCCAGAGTACAGGAAGCAAGGCAGGAGATAAGAAGGGGCCTCTAGCACCCAGGAAAAACAAATGTTATGGAGGTAAATCTCCTCCACACAGATCCCTGCACCGAGTTGCCCAGGCTGGGCATGAACTGGAGACCCTCCTGCCTCAGCCTCCCAGTGTGCTGGGATTACACTGTGCATCACTGCCGGGTCCTTAGGAACTTTACATGTGAAAAACAATTGGCAGTTCGGGCAGGCTGTCAACCTGCTCTAATCCGACAAAGCTACTTGTCACTCAAGTTTAATCTTAGTCTTTGTAAGTGGATACTAAAATAAGAGTTCAAGATCTCACGATTCCCTGAGCTCACTAAAGGCAGAAAAATAGTCTGACTTGATTTCTGATAGAGTTCTCTACCAGACAAAATGGCCCCAAGGGTCCTAAAATGGTTCCCACTTACAGAAATGAGCCACTTCGGAAAAATGAAACCTCCCCCCTCTGAAGAAGCAAACCTAACTGTTGCTCCACCCTGCTACCCACCTGATCTTCCTCTTCCAATCACCTGGCACCTCGTCACTAGCCCCACAGCAGGACCAATCCTCACCTCTCACGATACTCTCCCCAATGCACTGCCCAATAGAAACCTCACCCAGGTAGTCTCAAACCTCTCTCGCCATTGTTCGAGGGAGCCTGGCAGCTCTTTCCCCCAATAAAGCTTTGCCTCGGGTGCTCCTGTTTCTGCTCATTTTCTTTCAATTTCCTCACTCAAGCCTCCAAATAGCGCTTCTCTGGAGAGTCTAGAAAGGTGGGACTGGTCGACTGTTTTTGAGAGAACTGGTTCATTCCCAATTCAATCATGTAAGAAATTGAAGTGAGGTCCAGAGAAAAAGATTTCTTTGGAGAGGATTAGGCATTGGACTTTTTATTTTGAACAAGATGAACCAGAACCACAGATGTTCCTGGGTCCCAAAGTGAGTAAAAGATGTTTTATTATCTAAGAGTAACCCAGAATTATGGGACCTGTGATTTTATTGCAGGTAGGTAAGTTAATTAAATATCTTGTAGGCAGTTGGAGCCACTCCAGAAGGAGCCAACAGGGAGGACAAGCAAGACACATTCACTGAAGGCCAGCACTATAAAAACACAGAAACTACCACTCCCACATGCCTCCCCTAAGGATGAACAGCAGTGATTGATATTCTAAATAGGTATCAACCACCTGGGTGGGGGACAAAGATCAAGATAGATCCCTGACCCACCCCTTTCCACTAAAAATCCTTGCTCAGTTCCTTCCACGCTTGCTCTGTGACTTGCTCCCCCATTTGACTTCCATTTAATCAGTATTACCTGGGCGACTGTATTTGTAATCTTATTGGTTGGTCACAGTTTTGTCCCACCTCATGCCCACCTCGTAAATTTCCACTGGGTCTTATACTTTTGTCCTGCTTTGTACCTGCCTCACCACACGGCTTTGCTGTACAAAACACCTTTGAAAAGTGGGGTGGCCGGCCGGGCAATCCACTTTCTGGTCCCCTTTGTCTCTCTTAGACAGTAGCTTTCTTTCATTAAATTTTCCTACTCAACCTCCACTGTTCCTAGAATTCATTCTTCGATTTTAGAGAACACGAACTCGAGCTTCAGATACTAGCAGGGCTGGGAGTGTTATGTCTTTTCCTCCTGTGCCAATTTCACGCAAGGGACACGGAAACTAGAGTTTTACAGACATCTATGAAGAGACCATGGGGTAAAAGGATAAAGGGGTTTGTTTTTTTTCTTGTGTGTTCTATGGAGTTCTGCTCTTCTGCTGTAAAGGTTACACCTTCATCAATGAGTATAAAGTACCTGGAACAAGGTGGGTGATCTTCCTTCCCATCTTTTACCAGTCAGACAGGTACGTTGAATCACTGGTTGGTACACAAATCATGAGGAACGTGGACAGGACATCTGGGCTTACCCCAAGAGTGGGTGGGTCACCCCTGGGTGGATTCCATGCCGTTTGGGGTGTCTAGGTTGTAGAGAAGCCTGGGCTAGCCAAGCAATCATACACCAACAGACAAGTCCCTAAGACAATTTCAGAGAACGATGAGTACTGTTAAGGAGATAGAATGGGGAGATGATTGTTAATCTGTATGTACAATAATTAACTTTATAAGGATGTATAAGATAAATTAATATGATGCTGGCAAAAAAATAAAAGGGGGAAGGGGAAAAAACAGAATTGAGTTGTGCTATGTACATGAACCAATTCCCTACAATGAATGGAACCGTATCTACTGCAAACATGCACTAATAAAAACTTTAAAAAGAACAGGGGCAAGTGGGGTAGAGAATAAAGATACATTTCTGAATGGGTAACTTTGCAGCTGAGGTTTACATGATGAGAAGGAAGCAACGACATGAAGAAGTATGATAAGTTCTCTTCAGAGAAAAAAGAACCCCCTCCAGTACGCTTGGCATATGTTAGAAATAGCAAGGAGATGTTGTGGTTAGGAGAGGGGACAATGTGGGGAAATGTGGATGGAGCTACTTCAGCAGCAGCCAAGGATCAGCTCAAATAGGGCCTTGTGGCAACAATAAGGATTTAAAAGGCTTTAAAGGAGAATGGCAAGGTTTTAAGCTAGAGACCTGCTCCTCGAAGTCACTTTCCCTACTTGGTGATAACAGTAAAAGGAGAAGGCAGACTCATTAGAAGGGCACGGACTCAGACCACAGCAAAGATGATGATGGCTTTATGGGCTAAAAAAGTCCTAGAAGAGAGATCCATGTCCTAATCGCTGGAACCTGTAAGGTTACCTTATACTTACAGCAAACACTCTGCAAATGTAACTGTTTCAGGATGTTAAGATGGGGACTTGGACTATACAGGTGACTTTAAATGCACTTCCAAACATCCTTCCAGTAAGAGAAGCAGAGAGAGATCTGACATAGAAGAGAAGGCGCAATATGGCCACAGAGACTGAGACTGAAGTGAAATGTCCACAATTCGGGGGATGTCAGCCACCACTAGAAGCCTGAAGAGGTAAGGACAGAATTTTCTCCTACAGTCCATGTAGGGCATGAGGCCCTGCGACACTCCAGAACTCTAAGGGGATACTTTCTGCTGCTGTCAACTATGGAGTTGGTGGCGATTTCTTACAGCATCCACCGAGGAAAGGTGACTTGGAGGAGGGGTTTAGCGGCGGAGAAAATCACAAGTGACTGGACTCAAGATACTGGCAACGATAAAGAGCTGCCTAGCACGTGGAAGGCCCTGGGTTCCGTCAAGCCCAGCAGGAAAAGGTGTTCCAGAGCACCATGTTCCAGTGTTCGCACTGGCAGAAAGTCCAAGTACATCTGCACGTTCCCTGCACTACCTATGCCCCAGATTCCTCAAGGCAGCGGCCCCTTGGACAACTCCTGGCATCTACGTCCCCTTTTACGTCTTTGCTCTTCCCCACTGGAGGCTGAATCTCTTTTCAGACGGCCCCTCGCCCCAGCATAAAATAAAGAGCCTCGTTCCCCACACAAAGACTGCCCTGGGTGGTCTCTCCTCTCCGCGTCTCTAACACAGGTTCAAACCCCAGCAACACACACACACACACACACACACACACACACACACGCCCTTTTGGAAGTAGGATCAACAGGACTTGCTGTTCATGGTTTAGGGTGTCCTGATCGAGTGGATGAAAACACCATTCTTGAAGAAGGAAGAGGGAACAGAGATTCTTAGGGTCATGTTTGCTGCAGTCCTGTTTGACAACTGTAAGCTGGCATGTGTCCCGGCTCCTGACCCGTACGACCCGCATCGACCAGGAGAGAGCAAGTCCACGCAGTCAGGCTGGGAGCGGAAAGAGGGATGGAGACACGGATTGGAGCCATCCGAGCTTCGGGCAGGGGTCCTAACTAGAGCAACAGAAAGACAAGGGGCGCATCTACCTCGAGGAAGCCACTGTGGGGCTGACAACGAGGCGCCTCCGGCAGGGGCTGCGGGCGGGACGTCCGGAAGTCAGTCTCGGCGAGTTTGACGCCAACGGGGGACGGGCAGCCGTGGCCCCGCGGTGGAGGGCGCTCCAGCTGGATCTCAAGGCGGCGGACTCTGAAATGCTCGCTGCTGCCTGGCGAGAACTAAGAAGGGGAAGCTTCGGGAGGCCGGGCGGGGGCGCGGGTGGGGTACAGGAGACTCCGAGCCCACCCGCGCCCCGCCGCGCCAGCGCCAGCGGAGAGGAAGCCCTGACCTCACGGCCTTCCGCCCGGCTCCGGGGTGTCGTCCCGGCAGGCATCGCGCGGGCGCAGGGCGCAGGCGCCCCCCCGCCCCTTTTCCCCAAGTCGGCTCCGCCCCCGGCGCCACCCGAGCGGAGGGGGATGGTTTCCTCTTAAAACAGCAACGGCGGCGGGCGCACGCGGTGGGCCCCGGCCCCGCACTGCTCTCCTGGCCCGCTCGCGAGGCCGGCGAGGCGCAGGGGAAACCCCGGCGCGCGGGCAGGGAGCGGGGACCCCAGCGCTGCAAGCGCACTGCGCCGGCCGGCGGGGGGCGCCCCGCAGCCCCGCCCCCCCCGCCTGCAGGCAAAGGCGCCCCCGCCGGCCGATCCCGCCCCGTCCCTCACCGGTGGGCAGCGGCCCGCGGGCGGACCTCGAGCGCTCCGGGACTGGGGGCTCGCGGGGGTCGCCGCTCAGCGTCTCCCCGCTCGGCAGGCCGGCGACGCGACCCCACGCCCATGGCGTCCGCCCCCGCGGAGGATGCGGCGCGCGGGCGGCGGGAACGGCGCAGGCGGCTGGACGCGCGGCGTAGCAAGTGCCGCATCCGCCTGGGCGGACACATGGAGCGCTGGCGCCGGCTCAAGGAGCGGCTGGGCTTCGCGCTGCACTCGCAGCTCGCCAAGTTCCTGCTGGACCGGTCGGAGGGCGGAGGGGTCCACTGGGCAGGGGCTGGAGCCGAGGGGGCGCGGGAGGGCTCCTGCGGGTGGGCTGCAGGGCGGCCGGGCCCTAAGTGTGGGCGTCCCCTGGGCGGAGGGCTACTCAGCCCGCGACCTCACCTGCCTGTCGCCCTGCAGGTACTTGTCCTCCGGCTGCGCCTTCTGCGGAGGTCTGTGGTAGATGGGGAGCGGGAGGGCGGGGGCAGGGGCTGTGGTGAGGGTCGGAGTCCGGGCTAGTGTTGGATCCCATCCCCTGAGCGAGCTCCGGAAGGGGCTGGAGTCCAGCGTCACAGGCGGCCGTGGGGACCTTCGGGCGTGGGTGCTGGAGTGGGTGCAGGGCCAAGGGGGCACCTCCCCACCTGACTGCTCCCCCGCAGACCCGGAATCTCTGCCCCCCAAGGCTCTGCACTGCCTGGTGCTCCTCTGCCACGCTCACAGCCGCGAGTGCGACTTGGCGCCCGAGCTCCGGGGGCCTGCAGGCCGCGGCGCGCTGGTGTGGGAGTGCTCCGCGGGCCACAGCTTCTCCTGGGAGCCCCCCCTGAGCTCTGAGCCTGCAGGGAGGGCTCCCAAGCAGGGCCAGAGGCGTGGGCAGGAGCCTGCAGGTAGGATTTGTGGAAGAAAAGGGGGAAGGTTTTAGTCTTCCCTAGCTCAGGCCCCTGTTTTTTTTTTTTTTTTTTTTTTTAGTACCACACATCGAACTCGGGACCTTGTGCTTTCGAGGCAGGCGCTGGAACCACTGAGCTAAATCCCTGGCCCAAGGCCTCTGTTTCTTAGGGAGCGTTTATGTTAGCAAGGAAACTTGCGCTCACATACATCTTAGGTATAGAAAGAAAACGAGCTAGGTGTAGTGCTGCAGGCCTAGTCCTCGCACAGGGAGAAGGGGCAGGAAGATGAGGGTTCAATGTCAGCCTGGAATACAGAGCAAGACCTTGTCTCAAACAAAAAAAGTGAACCAAAGAAGAAAGAATAAGATGCACAGTATGCACTCATTAATGGAAACTTTAAAGAAGTGCATGTCGGGCTACCTGCATATAATTTCCCTGGAAGGGGGAAGCCAGGGTGCCTGTGGGAGGAGTTAGTGCTGCTGGGCAGAACTGGAAAGGAGACTTCTTGGTGTGCTGCTTGCCCTCTGTGTCCGAACCGTGTCCGTGTGGCCCGAATTGACACCCACCGAAGTAGCCTCTGGCCCTCCTCCCCCTCTTCCCCCACTGCAGACCGCGCCTGTCCTTGTGCTTGAGCCCGGGCTCCTTCTAACCCCCCCTGTATCCCCAGGTCTGGAACCCGAGCATGACGAGGGCACTCCGGAAGCAGGGCCGCCCAGGTGAGGCTGGGAGGCAGGTGGGCTAGACCAGCCCCTCGAGGTCACGGGGTGCAGGAGTGGAACCTCAACTGCCTTTTTTGGGCCTGCAGGGGTGCAGGCTCCCCACTGGAGCCCGTCCCACCCCCAGGAGAGGAAGAGGATGAGAACGAGGAGGAGATGCTGAGCGATGCCAGCCCGTGGACCTATAGCTCGTCCCCAGATGAGCAAGTCGGGTCGGGGGTGCTGAGCAGCGCAAGGGGGGCTCCAGATGTGCAGACCTGAGGGAGGACAGGCTGTGGTGGTGTGCAGCAGGAGGGGACCAGAAGCAGGTGTGAGGGAGCTGAGGGCGGGTGGAGCTGTCCCAGGTTGGAGGGCCTGTGATTCAGGGCTTAGGCTTAGGCGTGGGCGTGGGCTGCTCGAGGACCCAGAGGTAAAGCCCACTCTCCTTGGTTCTCCTTTCAGCGAGCCAGATGTGCCCAGGCCACCCACGCCCCCTGCCACCTGCACACCTGAGGAGGGGGAGACACCAGCAGTCCCCACTCCTGCTGCTGATCCGTGCCCATCAGCGTCCCCACTGGGTCCCGGGCCAATGACTGCAGAAGCTGAGGTCCAGCTGGAGCTCAGGGAGAACCCTCAGGCCGAGCCCCTGGCCAGGTAACCAGATGGACACTAAGGTGGAAGAGGGGGTTGGGCCCTGGACCTGGGCCTCCCTCCAAGCTCTGTTCCCTTCTGACCCGCAGCCCAGGGAGTCAGGCCCTGGCCCAGGATGAAGATGCAGCACAGATTGGGCCCAAGAGAATCCGGTAGGACTCCGGGGGCTGGGGCCAGGAGGGCTCTGGAGAGGGAGGCGAGGGAGACAGGCAGGAGGCCCGCTGCTCCCATCTCCTCCCCAGGAGAGCTGCCAAGAGAGAGCTGATGCCCTGTGACTTCCCTGGCTGCGGCCGGATCTTCTCCAACCGGCAGTATTTGAATGTGAGGGGAGGTTGGCCGGTGGGGTTGCTTGGGTTGGGAGAGGGCAGAAAGAGAAGCTGAGGAGGGGGCCTGGGGCTGGGTGTACCTGCCTGGCCCAATTTGATTCCCAGCGCAGTGACCCCACAGATTGGGGAGCCGGTGCCACCCAGGGCGGCCCGTGGAACGGGGAACATTGCGGGCAGTTGCCCTGCGGCAGGGCTGAGCAGCCCGGGCGGGCCGGTCCTGCCTCGAGTGTGGCGTGGTGAGGCCCGGGCCAGCATGGCGTCCCAGCTGGGACGGGGGGCTGCCGGGGCGGGGCTGGAGGGGGACAGATGCCGCCTCTCCTCCGAGAAGCACCACCAGAAGTACCAGCACATCCACCAGAAGTCCTTCTGCTGCCCGGAGCCGGCCTGCGGGAAGTCCTTCAACTTCAAGAAGCACCTGAAGGAGCACGTGAAGCTCCATAGCGGTGAGGGTGACACCCTTGCGTTGGGGGCTGTGGGGAGAGGAGCGGGCAGGGCCCAGGGGAGCAGGAGAGCAGCGCGGGCGGAGCAGAGCCCGGCGGGCTGGCACTGGGGGGGGTTGCACCCCTCCGCCGGTGGCAGGAGGCTCGGCGTGCCATGGGCCCTGCAGGGCCTTAGGGTGTGTGGTCGGGTCCTGCCGGGCAGGGGCAAGCCTGTGCTTGTGGACAGGAGGCCAGGGCCGTTGCGCACAGAGGGGTGGGTGAGCGTGCGTGGGACCTGTGGGCAGGGCAGAAGGTGATGGCTGCCTGAGGCCTGAGGACGAGGGAAGGGCCTGGCCCTGGGCAGTGGGGAGCCTGACTTGGGTCCCAGGAGATGGGCAGGGAAGTTCCGGAGAAGTCAGGCAAGAATATCAGGAATATCCACAGGGTGCTGCCAATAGGAGGGGCAGCTGCCTGGGAAGGCAGTGGGCATGGCAGGAATGGAACCCTCCCAGCAGCTCTAGAGCGGCTCCGGGCTTGGGGCACAGAGCCAGGAGCGGCGGAGCAAGAGATAGCCCTGGCAACTCCAGGGCTGGAGGGACCTTTGGAGAGGCCGAGTGTCCTGGCCGGGTGAGGCGGCCCTGGGAGTGCAGTGGGCACGGGACACGCTGGCCAGTGGACGTTCTCTCCTGGCCGCCTCCTTAGAGACTGAAAATGGGTGACATTGTGAGCCAGGGCGTCAGGGACAGCGGAGAGGGGCAGTAGTGTGACTGGTGTTCAGGATCCCTGACAGTGGGGTGCACCGGGGGACACAGGCGCACACGGTGCCGGGAGAGGCGGGGAGGACTCGTGCCCACTCGGGGCACCCACGTAGGCCAACTGGGGTGCAGCTGAGGGGAGGGCAGGCGGACGGTGGGTGGGCACAAGGCTGGGCTGTGAGGACAGCCCCGAGGACACTGCAGGGGGCACCAGGAGAAGGTATCTGCTGTGGCCTGCAGCCGTGGGCCAGTTGTCATAGCAGGACAGCCTAGGAGGCCCTGGCCAGGACAAGGACGCTGCAAGGTGTGGTGTCCCGGGTGGCACTGTGCTGGGTGCCCCTGGGAGAGTGGCGGAGGAGGGCTGGGGCGGGCGAGGCTGTGAAGGTTGGAGGGCAGCAGGCCGAGTGCGCCTGAGTCGGTTGTCAGAGCCGCTGGGTGACGGCCGAGGGAGGAGGCTGCTTCCTGTGTGTGGCTGGGTGGCTGCACCCTCGGGGAGCTGGCGGCAGCAGTGGGGCAGCCGGAGAGCTAGGGCCGGCCATCTTAGGGCAGCGCTGCGGCTCCGTGATGCAGGAGCCCAGAGCAGCGGGGATGTGGGGCGGACAGGCTCAGGACCGCCGGCTGGGGCGCGTGGGGTCCACAGGCGCAGTGGCCGGGAGGGGCCGCGCAGGCGGAGGGGCACTGACGGGCCAGGCGTCCTTGGATTTGGGTTCCAGGCCCTTGGTCCTGTCCCGAGCCCAGCGCGGCACTGTCTGCCCACGAGGACCTGGTGCAGGGAGGAGCGCGCGGCAGGGACAGTACCGTGCGCGCAGCCGGGGGCGCAGGCGGAGGCCGGCCAGGCTCCCTGGCCAATGACAAGGCAGCCCAGGCCCGAGCTCGGTGCCGCGCTGTGGCGCGGCGGGGGTGCTGAGCGTCCCGTGTGCCCGCAGACGCCAGGGACTACATCTGCGAGTTCTGTGCGCGCTCTTTCCGCACCAGCAGCAACCTGGTCATCCATAGGCGCATCCACACCGGGGAGAAGCCGCTGCAGTGAGTGCCGCCTCTGAGGGAGGGGGCTTCAGGGCGCGGGAGGGGGGGGCGGGCCGGAGGGAGGGGCGGGGCGGTCCAGACCGGGCTCCCTCTTCCCGCCCGCCGGCCCCAGGTGTGAGATTTGCGGCTTCACCTGCCGCCAGAAGGCCTCCCTCAACTGGCACCGCCGCAAGCACGCGGAGACAGCGGCGGCCCTGCGCTTCCCCTGCGAGTTCTGCGGCAAGCGCTTCGAGAAGCCGGACAGCGTGGCGGCTCACCGCACCAAAAGCCACCCGGCCCCGGCCCCCGCCCCGCAGGAGTCCCCGGGCCCCGCCCCGCCCTGCGCGGCCTCTGCCTCCGAAGCCCCTGGGTCCTCCCCTCCCTCGAAGACCGTGGCCCCGCTCCCTGAGCACAGAGTTCGGCCCAGGGAGAGTCAGGCGCGCGGGGCCCCAGGACCGGGCGCAGGGAGCCAGGCCGGGGCGAGACTGGCCCTGGAGAGCGGGTCGGCCTCGGCTTCCTAAGGACGGAATAAACGGTACCCTAGAGCGCGCCAGCGGACAGGCCCGCACTTCTGGACTCGCCAAAGCCGACTGGTGCATGTGCTAGCTGCAGCGGGTGGCTCTTAGGGCTTTCTTTCGTTCTTGGCGCTTCCCTGTCCTGCCCTGGGCAGTGTGGCCCCTGCCCTCGCACTGTCACCCCGGCGGGTTACACTGGGCACTGGCCAGGTCAGGGTAAGGCTTGTGACCGTGGCCCGTCATGCATTCGCGTTGCGGGCCCGGGAGACTGGCCTTCCCCGCAGCAGGGAGGGCCTGGCCCTCGAGGTGCTGCGGCCTTCCGGAGCCCCTGGGACTGATCCCTCCAGAGTGCGAAGGGCAGCCCTCCAGAGCCCTGGCAGACGCCTCATTAACCAGCCGTTAGCACTGGCTTGTGGACACAGGGCCTTGACCCCAGCCTGGGTGGACGTCCTTCACGCAGACGGAGTGGGATTAATAGGCAGAACTAGGGCAGGAAGGCGGCGGGGCCGGAAGGGTGACTGGCGCAGTCTGTGATCGTTACCGACAGGCCGAGGACAGGAGGCAGCCCCCGGGCCCTGGGAGGCAGTGGGGCAGCGACGGGCCATGGCAGAGCATGCGCGCACACACACACACGGGTCTCTGCGGCCGGGCTCCAGGCAAGCTCAGAGGCGACACCCAGGCCTGGTGGTTGCAGGTGCAGGTCACACGTGAGCGTCCCCAGTGCTCAGGGCCAGGGCACATCCTTCACCTTCAGGCCTGGAAGGAGGCGGTGGCAGGGAGGAGCGGAGCCAGACACAGGCCTGCACCTCCAGGCTCTGCCGCTCGCCGGGCATGTACCCCGCGCCCTTGGGAGGGCATGGGCCTCGGGGCCCAGTGGCTGCGCTGTGGAGACGCGGGAACAATCCCGTCCCCGAGAGCCACAGGACTGTGTAGGACGCCCACGGGCAGAGCAGGCCACTCCCCTCCGGGAGAGCCCCTGTGGTGTGGGTGCTGGGCACAGCACCGATGCGCAGCACCCAGACACAGGGCAGTGGATGCGGCTGCGCCCTGGGCAGCATGACAGATACCTCCCGAAGCGCACCTTGGGCTTGATAGCACCCGATAAGCTCCCCATGCGTGGTCCCTGCTGGAGAAAGCAGCTGTGGATCCAGGGAGAGCGAGGAGGGAGCGAGTCCAACTCAGGACAGCAAGGGTGGCAGTGGCCCCTGAGCGGTGCTCTCGCCTTTCCAGGAGAGCTGGGGGCAGAGGGGTGCCCTGTCTCATCTCAGGGTGTCCGAGGGGTTTGTTCACTGCCCCAGCCAGGTCTGACCGGCACTTTGTGGACCTGGGCTGCACGGTGGGCCACTTTGTCTCCCATGGTGCCCAGTCCTCGAAGCTCCTTCCGGCTGGAGCTGGCCTTGTCCCCCAGGCCTGAGCCCTCCAGTCTGAGCACAAGTGGGCTCCTCACTGGCTGCCTGCCCTATGCTTCCTGAGGCCCACGGACTGCTGTCCTCTCTTCAACACGGCCCTGGGGCACCTGTCCAGTCAGGGCAGTCGGCAGGCACTGTCTCGCAGTGAATGAAGTTCACTGCCCTCGAAGATCAGTGCAGGGAGCGCAGAGGATGCGTGTGGATGGGCCGTGTGGACGGAGCTCTGAGGCAGGCAGACCTGCAGATGCACTGGGCCCTGCGGGGTGAAGCAGAGAGAGGCCCTGGGAATCAGAACTGGGCAGGAGTGCTGCAAGGGCGAAAGAAGTTTCCGCGCGAAGGTTTTTTGGTTTTGTTTTTTTTTTTTTGCGGGGGTGGTATTTTCAAACATAAAAATCCAGCAAGAGTGGTGTCAGGTCACGCACTGCTTTCCCACTCCTGCTTCATCTGTGATGCCACTCTGCCTTCTCATTTGTTTCTTATTTTTTTTAACTTTTTTTTTTTGGTACAGGGGATCGAACTCAGGACCTTGAGCTTTTGAGGCAGGTGCGATGCTGAACTAAATCCCTGGCCCTTTGTTTTGAGACAGGGTCTCAGTGTAGTCCAGGCTGGCCTTGAACTCGTGGAGATTCTCCTGCCTCAACCTCCTGAGCTCTGGGATTACAGGGGTACACCACTACACACGGCTGCTCTCCTCTTTCAGGTGTGGCTCTGCAATATTTTAAGCCCCAGACATTGTACTCAAAGATGACACTTTTTTTTTTTAATCTTTTTTTTCCCATTAAGGCTATTGGTCCATTTTTGGTATAAAATACAGTTACATTCATCATTGGGATCTTGTACCATTACATGAGTATCTTGGTCCTTATTTTTTTCCCCTTCCCCTGCCCCTCCTTCACCTCCTCCACCCTTCCCTATTTGCAAAGACTTTGTTTCCATTTTTTTCCTCCTCTCATATTTTTTCCCCCTTCTTTCCTTTCCCCTACCCCCTCCCACTTCCCCTGCTCCTTTAGACCATTTGTTCCTGTTACACGATATCAATTATACATTTTTAAAATTACACTATCAAGATCTAGGAGACATGACCACAGATTTTACAGAATTTAAAAGGATATAGAAAGCATATTACAAAAATCTTTTTAATTAAACGATGACACTTTGTTTTGTTTTGACTGCTGCTGCTGAGGATCAGACTCTAGGACTCACAACTGGGCAAGTGCTGTATGACCCACCCCTTTCATTTGGAGGCAGGATACCCCTAAACTGCCTGGCTGGCCTCACACTGAGATCATCCTGCCTCAGCCTCCCCTTCCCAGGAGTTGGGATTGGGGGTTTGAGGCCAGCTAGGTAACATAGGCTGACCCTGCCTGACACACACAAATTACAACCATGACCCCAATTCATGTATTTGCTGGCGATGCACTTTTTCTTGCCTAAGTAGTAACCAACCTAATGTTTTATTCTGAGACAGGGTGTCACTACATCGCTAAATAAAGAGGTTTTTACACACACCCAGCAAACGGTCTGCAACACTGCTGCAGCCTTCAGAGGGGTACCCTGGGTCGTGGAGGGAGCTTTTCACCACTCACTTGGCCGCTGATTCCAGCTGGACATCAGTCCAAAGGGGCCTGCCTCTGTCCTGAGAACAGAACCCCTGGAGACCTTGGCTAACCCCAAATGCCAAAGAAGCACTGCTGTGCTGGGTCAGTCTGCATCCCCGCGGTGTCAGGGAGTATTGCTCAGCCCAGGTTTCTGGGAGCCCAGCCCACTGCTCCCTTGCCACGCCCATGCCCAGGGGAATCGGGACCCAAGCACGAGCAGGTCAGTGGCGCGTCAGCGGAGTGCCCCTCTCCCCAGTTCCCGCCTGGCGCAGGCTGCAGGTGCAGGCTGGGTGCCCTGCGGATCTCTCCTCTGCCTCACCCCACGCGGTCCTTGCAGCAGACGCACAGGAATATTTCTGTGCAAACCTGAAAGGAAAAGTATTACTGTGTCCAAAAAGAACCATTCCTAGAATATCCCTGGCATCACCCTCTTAGTGTGAGTTTCGACGTTGTAAGGGTGTGATTTTCTTTCACTTTAGGGAGAAGAATATGTACAGGGAGACTTGGGGAAGGGGAGGAGGTGGTTACATGTGAGTCTGAAGTCCTGAGAGTTGAATACGATACCCACGTACCCACGTGCCTTTCAAGCATTTGATTCTTACAAACTCATTACATAGGACTAATAAAAATGCACACTGAGAAGAGAAGCTAATGAGAAGCTAATGTTTATAATAGATTAAGATAACTTCTGGGTTTGGTGGATCACTTTATTGTGTTTCTCAGAGGTTGAAGGTGTTTCACGCCAGATCTAACTGATCACAAAGGTCACAAGGGGAAGGTTACTCAACCAGTCAGGTTTAGAATATTAACAATCTGGTGGATGGGAGGTTTTCTTCCAAGTCGCAGCCTTCGGTCAGGACAGAACAGGATTTCTTCCCTGGGCAGCTGCCTCACTGTGCCAACACTTCTTGAGTGGGAGGAGAGGCCTGAGGACATCAAGAAAGTGACCATCTTACCATCTGCATCTCGAAGCGAGTCGGGTGAATCAGTCTGGGCTGCAAGGGGTGAAGCTCAGGGGACCTTTGCAGAACTGGCTTGGCTGGCACTGTCGCCAAGGAAAGCCTTCCCATGGGAAAATGACGCACAACACCTCATCGATAATGCTTGATACAGATTAGGATTGAAATGATAATTTTTTGGATATATTTTGTTAAGTAAAGGATATTATTAAAATTTTATTCATTTTAAAGGAAATTTAAGGTTGCAGATGTGACTAGCATTTTACTTCTATTGGGCAGTCTGTCCCGGTGACCTTTCCAGATCCGGGGCAACTTACATAGCAAGGGTGGCCTAGCTCACGGTCCATGGAGGGCTTGGGTTAAGAAAGATGGCTGAACTTGGAGGCCTCAGAGCCCCGTGGGAGCTGAAGGCCCTTCCTCCCCGACCACCTCCCCCAGAGGAGCCGGACTCTGCCGGGAAGAGGGTGTCAGGAGTGGCACCTAGGGATCTGCCTGGGACTCAGGGTGGTGACCGGGCGACACGTCCACTGTCAGCACTCTAAGGGTGAGGCACCCCAGCTGGCACGGGCGCCTGTGCAGTGACACACACACCTCTGGGTGCATGTCCTTTTCATCCTCCCAGCACTCTGAGACGGTGCCAGCCGTTAGCAATGTAAGCTGAGGTTCCCCACAGGGCAGAGTCAGGCTGGGGACTGGGGACTGGGGACGAGAGGGGCAGAAAGAGAGCTGGCTGGCCCCGCAGGTTCCCTGGAGCAGCCCTTTCCCAGAGACCTCAGCCCTGGGCCAGGAGAGGGAACTGCCCTCCAGAGGGGACAGGAGCTGGTGTGGAGTGCAGGAGGTGGCAGCTTCGTCCAGGAAAGGGACTGTTCTCCCGGAGTCTCCCTGCACCCTGCCCCTGGGAACCCGAGATGCTGCTGGCTCTGGGATTCTGACATCCCTAGGCCAGGTGAAGCCAGACAAGCGCCCACTGCTCACGGTGGATGGTGTGCAGCAGAGAGGTCTACTCTAGTTACTGTACACTGTGCATCCTTCCCCTTGGAAAGCCACGCCTTCATTCACAGTGCTTCAAATAACCAGGAAAGCAGCCTCTGCCACCTGTACCCTCCCAGCACTTCACTCAGCAGCATTTGAATGAATCGGGTGAAAGGACAGGAAACTGATTCTCCTGCTTTCTGGAAAGACAGAACCCCTAATCCTTGGAGGTGAGGTGGGGAATGGAATTCAGAGCAACAGGATGGGAAACAAGGCTAGCACTTCAAAAGAAGGTGCCAAGTCCTCAGGGTTCCAATCCTGCCTGACCTGTTTAGACCTGGTGGACAGGAATGAGGCTTGGCCCTCACCCCTAGGGCCTAGTCTGATAATGACTCAAATATCCTTCGGGAAGTTTGGGTTTCAGTTTTTGTCATGAAATGTGAGGAGTATGGAGAAGGCTGCTGTGTAGGTAGGGGTAACAGTGCAAGCTTGCGCGTTGCTCTTTTGATACGGGCAAAAGTGAGGCTGGAGTGGCCAAAGCATCCCAGGGGCAGGTGGGAGAAGAAACTCAGGCCTCCTGCGCCTGTGGGGCTATTGGGGAGCTGGGCATTAGAAACGACGCACAGTGGTGAGTCACGCAGTGATGAGGTAAACCCTGAGAAATGTGGGCTGGCACACGTCGGTGCCCATCCTGCCTGAGATGTTACTGTTCGGTGTGCTGGCTGCAGTCTGGCCCCTGCCTTCCCCGCTGGGGTGCAAGGCTCCTGGAGGCTCCCAGGCACCTTCCTGTGGCCATCCGTCCTCCTGAGGGCCCCAATGCACATGCTGTCCATTTTGCTTTCCTCCCGATGAGGGGAATCGGGGAAGCAAGTGCCCACATTCGGGTTCTTTGCTACCATTCCAGTGTGCGACCCTACACAGGACCGGAGGCTCTGATCCTTCACCTGGATAAACTCAGTGAAGGAGGCTATTACTGAGTTTCGCGTGCAAAGGCGGAAACTAAAATATTCCTGCAGCTCGAGGCCGGCTGCTGCCCAGCTCCGAGGCTTCCTGTCCTCGGGAGCGCCCTTCTCTGGGCAGACCTGAGTCAGTGGCCCGAGCTCTTGTGCAACGCCAGCCTCCTAGACGGGTACGCCTGTCAGCAGCGACCTCAGCGGGGATAAACAACCGTGCTCGAACGAAGGAGGCTGCGCGCCTAGCAGGTCCTTCACGGTCTGCCAGCCAGGGCAGGGCGAAGGTCCACCAGGTGGAGGTCGCAGAGAGCTCCAGCCAATTGCTCGCGCTGCCGCGCCTCAGGTCACCGGTTGCTAGGTGGTGCTCACAACCCGGAAAACAAACCAGAGTCTCCCAGGCTGACCTCGACTGTCCAGGACCTTGGTCCCAGGCCACCTTCTCCCTCCGGGCTCTGCGGCCCCTCTGGTCCCCGAGGGTAATCTCTGGGCAGGCTTTGGAAATGTTCAAGACATTTGTGGAGGGCCTACTACAAAACTGCCCAAGAGTGTTTTACAGCTCAAGGATGCATCTGGTGTGACCTGCTTAGTGAATCTCCCTGGACCGCAACTCTGGTTTGGGTGTTGTTCCTGCTCAAACACAATCAAAAGTTTGCATTAAAGGCCTCAGGAGGCCTGCTCTCCTGGTGTGACAGCAGGGCCTTCTTCCTGCTCCAGCCTGCCCTCTGCTCTGTTCCCTCAGGTCCCCCGCTGGGTAATTCCTCACCCTCTGCACTGCTTTCAGCTTGGACCACAGCCCCTGCTCCCCGATTCTCTTCCCCAAAGTCCTCATCACCACCCAGCAGTCCTGTGAGCAAGTGTTTATGCAAAGTCTGTGGTCTTGGCAGGTCACATGACCTTTCCATATTCACTGCAGAGAATGATGTCATGGTTCACCTCTCATAGTAGGCCTTAGGCCTGGGGCCTGAATGTGCATTTCTGAGTACCAGCTAGGAAGGAGCTGCATGTTGGGCTTGGGAACAAATAGAGGCTGAGTCCTTGGGACACACTGGGGGAAAGAGCCCCTGGACCTCCCCTCCCTCCTGTGTAAACTATCAGGTGTTGTTCCTAGGGTGGGCCGGAAGTGTGAGATCATTCTGCTCCAGGTCATCAGCAGAGGTCAGTGAGGAGACTTATCAGGGACCCAGGTGGCAGCGACCCTGGTTTGTCACAAAGCAGGAGCTGTCAGTGTAGGCTACGGGACTGGGCTGGGCAGAGCGCTTCCTGGGAAGGGAGAGGACCTGCTCTTGACCAGACTGAGGCTGGTGTTCGTAGAGGAGGTGTGGAATCCTGTGGGCTACTGAGAATGGTAGAAGTGGAGTTGTTGGGAGTGGAAATCAAAGACGCTTCAGGCTGAATGAAGGAATTCCTTCTTTCCACAAGTTTTAGTTTTGGGGGCTGGGGATTGCACCTAGGACCAGTACATGTTGAGCAAGTGCCCTATCTACCAGCAGGCAACATCCTTGAGCCTCCACAAGCTTTCATTGGGGCCACTGAGTCTGCACCTGGCTGGGGACTGAAATGCAGAGGTGACCGAGGTATCACACGCCCGCCATGGGCCTTACAGTATGGTAGAGAATCTGTCCCAACCCAAAAGACAGATGTGGGCTGGGGAACAGTCATAGCGCATCAGGCTTTACAGGGACGCGATGCTACGGGAGTGGATGGCATTCCAACCACGCTAGGCTCTTCCTTACTGTTCTTTAAGAAGTATTGTTGAACATTTTTCTTTTGCAAGACAGGAGCCTACCATGGATAACCGCCAGCCGACAGGGCTGGCCTGATCACATCCACAAGAGCAACTCTCACCCTGCGACCCATTCCCCTTAACATGCCTAAACAGCTGCTTCTGCGGAAGGGGGAACAGAGCGGGGCTCTTCCCGGACTGCAGCAGTTACTACGTAAAATCTGCTTTCACTGCTGTAGCTAATGCCCAGCGGTGTCCAGGGAGACCCTGCACAGCCCCGGAAGCCCGGGCTGCATCCTTCCTCACGGTCCACTGTTGCAGGAACTCAAGAGACTGGAGAGACCCACGGACTGAAACAGGAGGACTTTATTTCAGGTTTAGGGTAAGCACCCGCTCGGCAGACGGCTGCCCAAAGAAAGAGCGCTGCACCAAGAAGCTCCAGCTTGTGAGCGCTCTGTCGAAGGGGGTGGTTTTTCTAGCGATGTAGCAAGCGAGTTTACCGGAACAGGGCAAGGGCAGACAGTTTTCTAACTCTGCCTTGTAAGAAGACTCTCTTACGAACTGTACGAGAACAGTGCCAATTTCCTTTACAGAACACGGTCCTCAATTTTGCCAGTGCCAGAAGGAGTTGCAGACGGAGGGGAGAGGGAAGAACGGGGGCTGCCCGAGGCTGGGAAGGGCTTGTTTTCCGTTAAGTCCTGCTCTGCCACCTAGGGGGCCTGGCTGGGGCTGGGGAAGCCGGGTCTCCATCCTTCTCAGCAGCCCTTCCCTCCGAGACACCCTGGCCCTGTGCGGCGACCACCCTAGCGAGCGCAGGGTGAGCCAGGGAGGGAGAGAAACGCTCTCGGGACACGCTCAGGGTGCGAGCGCCGAAGGATGAAGGGAGAGGGCGCGACGGGAGGCCCCAGGCACTTACCCATCAGAGCTGCGCGGTCAGAGGGCCCCAGCTTACCTGGGCGGAGTGAGAAAAATGACTTTGGGTAAAGGACTTTTCGCGGCCCCGTTACTGCGGACTCAACTCAGCCATCCGTCTGAGAGGCGGATCGAGAGCTCATTTCCGACCTTGCTCCTGCCTTCCAGGTTGAAGCCGGAAGTGACTTATTAAGGCCCGAGGCCGGGGCAAGATGGCAGCACTCTTTGTGAGGCCATTATCTAACCTCCGTTGTATTTCTGGCTCTCTTCTAATCATGAAGTACTCTCGATCTCCTTCGGTTGGGCTAGTTTTCCTCAAAACCACACTCTCTTTTACTTCCTGCAGCCTTGTTGAGGGATGGGCTAGAAGCAACGTCAGGCGAGGCTGAACAATGGGAGCTACCATGTTGTACGGAAACCGGACAAAGGGCAGGTGGAGGGTTGAGGATCTAGATTGGGCTGGGCCTGCGCGGAAGCGTGGGAGGGCCTGCGTATCGTCCTGACGTATTTCCGTTTCCGCCTGTCCTGGTCGCGTTTGGTTGGACCGGCTTGTTGTGGGGAGGGCGGGGGCAGATTGTTTGGTACCTGGGAGCTCCGTGCACGGAGGGTAAGTGGAGGTAAGACTGCGGACAGGACTTTTGCGCCTGGGTTATGCAGAGAGGCTGCGGTTGGACCTTGGGATGGCGGAGGAGTGCGGGGTTGGAGACGGGATGCGCAGCTGGTGGCTGGCTGGAGAGAGGAGCGAGGCGAGGCTGGGGATGCATCGCGAAGCCGGAGGGGCAGAGGGGGCGCGGCAGGCTGGGAGGGCCGGGCAGGGCCCAAGTCCCGGGGCTGAGCGAGGTCGGGATGGGAAGGCCAGACTTGGGCTGGGGGGTGGAGGCCGAGGTCGTGATGCGGACGCGGCCCCAGGCTTGTCCTTTGTTTCCCATCCTGCAGCTCCTCGGTGACGCTAATCCTACGCCTCTGCCCGCGCCCGGCCTTGTCTCCACAGCATCCAGCCTGGAGGCGCGCCTGCCTCGGCCTCCCGAATGGTGCACCTCTGCGTAGGCCTTGGCCCAGCATCCAGGCCCCCTCTGCCCCCTGCCTTGGGGCTGTGGCCCCGGCGACTCCTGGTGGACTCCCTGTGGTGCGGAGGGAAGAGAATCTGCACAGAACCCTTCGCTCCAGGAATCCCCAACAGCTGGACTCTCAGCCTCTAACCTCGAGTGACCTTCCTGTCCGCCTTTTAGGCCGAGAAGCCTCTCCTTGCTGTCCAAAGCCCAGGAAGCTCCAAGCTGGGGCCCTGGACCCAGCATGTCGGTCCTGTCTTGTGCCTAGGGCTCTGCCCTCTCCGGGCTGATGGCAGAGTTCAGGCACGTCCCAGGGGGACGGGAGACCCCGCAGGGGGAGCTGCGGCCAGAGGTGGTGGAGGATGAAGTCCCCAGGAGCCCAGGGCCAGAGGAGCCTGGCGACAGTGGCAGCAGCAGCACTGAGTCCAAGTTGTTACCAAGAGAGGAGGAAGAACTGGACCCTAGAATACAGGTGAGAAGACCGAGAGGGAGAGGAAGGGAACTGGCTGCAGCCTCTCCATGAACTCCAGCTGTGTGTGTGTGTGACCAGCCTCAAAAGGGTGTGCGTTGGAAGCGTTGGAAGCGCTGGTGGTGGAGCAGAGAAAGCCCTCGGCCCTGAAAGCAGGAGGCTCTGGGGCAGTGGGTGCAGAGCGCTGGCACGGTAAGGAATAGATGCCCAGCCAGCTGAAGCGGCTTGGTGACGATGGGCGTCCTGGGGAAGCCGCGTGGACAGGTGATGACTAGGATGTCCCCTGTGCTGAGGCCAGAGTGGTGTCGGGGAAGTGACTTCCCCTGGGGCGGGAGTGCAGGGCTCCGGTTCCTGGACTGCACTGTCAAGACCATGATGGGACGACCGACTGTAGTTGGGAAGAAATCAGCCAGTGCCGACAACTCTGGTGCTGTGAAGGGTCTCGGGGTGTGCGTGTGTGTTTGGGGCTTCTCGTGGACATGCTCTGCTCATCCGGGAACAGTGGGGAGCCCGTTGTTCCTGGCCTGAGTCAGTACTTCGTCCTGCTGTGCTTCAGGGTGCTGGGTTGAATCAGCTGTTTCTCCTGCTGCTTCTAAGTGATTTGTAGTCCAAGGAGGAAATAAGTCATAAAGAAACAAATCTTGGGCAAGATTCAAGCAGTCTCCAGCCCCTGATCTGTGATTTTATGGAAGTTAGTGAACCGGTCTGAAATCATTTTCCTTATCTGTTAAGTGAAGGGCTGGCCACGCTGATTTGCACAACTTATAGTCACCGTTCTCTGATGAGGATCTGTTCGTCTGTTATATATCCTTTCTTTGTTTTTTCTTTTATTTTTTTCTACCCCACCTGCCCTTTTTCAGTACTGGAGACTGAGCTCAGGACCTTCACACGAAGCCACATCCCTATTTCCCACCCCCACCTTTTTTCTAATTTTTTATTTTATTTTATTTTATTTTGGTACTGGGGATCGAACTTGGGTCCTTAGCTTTCGAGACAGGCGGTGGACCCACTGAGCTAAATCTCTGGCCATCTAATTTTTTATTTTGGGTCTCACAAAATCCTAAGTTGCCTAGTCTTCCCATGAATGTGGTTCTCCTGCCTCAGACTCCCAGAGCGCTGGGATTATAGGCCTATTTCACCTCGCCCAGCTTTTTGCTTGCCTCCTGGTGAAAGCTTACAGATAGCGCTTTGGGAGGAGCTCCGGTTCCTGGAGGAGGAGGAGGATGCGCTTCTTACCCCCACCCCCGAAGCTGTCTGTGTTCTGCTGAGAAAGGAATTCTAGGAAAGGACCCACAGTGGTTTCCTTGTTCTCCCTGTGTCTTCCCCTAGTGTCCACATAGGTGGGGCTGTACAGCGAAGTCACCCTTGCTCGGCACCTTCTGGAAGGTTGGCTGCCAGCTCCATGGGTCCCTGTAGGCGAGGTCTGGTCTCTTCTTCCTCATCCTCATCCCAGATGCCAGCCAGGCAGGCAGGAAGGGCTTCCCAGGAAGGGACGGCTGCCATGCGGAAGTGGCCAGCTGGTGTGGGCTCCTCCGTGCAGAGCTGGGCCCCCTGGCCTTCTGTGTTGGGCTTCTCTGAGGGGGAGGAGATTTGTGTCCCGTGAGGTGCATTTTTGTGTCAACCGTACACTGGACCACACCGCCCGATGATGTTCTCAGGGCACCCATTGGCACGATTCTCAGTGCATCACAGGTCTGCGCCCACAGACCCATCCCCCTCCAGGGAGCTGCAGACACTCCCTTTCCCGGCTGCACCAGACCGCCATGTCCTCCCAGGCTGGGTGGGGCAGAAGGGCTCTGGGCATCCCAAGACGGGGAATCCTGTGTGGGCATCTCTGGAAGGCTGCAGGGCGAGGCACTCCCAGTTGCTGGGCTCCCTCTGGCCCAGGGAGGAGACTCCCGAGTGCGTCTGCAGTAGGCCACTGGCCGTGTCTCCCAAGACCCAGTGGAGCTTTCCATGCCCTGCAGCTTCAGAGGGAAGGTTCCACTCAATGCTCCCTCGTCCCGTGTCCCCCCAGGAAGCCCTGGCTTCACTCTCAGACAGCTCTGCCTGTCTCACTGGCCTCCACTTGAGCCCTGATGCCCACACCAGCTGGGCTGGGAGCGTCTGGCCCATGTGCTGCCCTGACTCAGTGGCTCGGCCTCCTGGAAGGCCCCCAGGGTGCTGGCAGGGAAGGTCACCTCAGGCCTCTGATGGCTCACTAATGGATCGGGCGCTGACTCGGCTGAGCCTCCTGGATTCCACTGTGGCTGAGTACAGGCAACCTGGGCAGTGGCCAAGTGGAGCGCGTTACCACCTGCCCGAGTCGGCACCCACGTGCTCAGTGCTGTCACCCAGCCCATCCAACCCTCCCTCCACCCTGCAGGTCCCTCTGCTCCCCACCGCTCCCTGTCCTGCCAGCGTTGAGGCCTCCCCAGACACACCAGCAGGGCTTCTGTTTAACTGTAGAGGTGCCATCCCGCTGCCATTTCTCCTGCTGCTGGTCTCTGTGGGGACAGTGCATGCGAGCCACCAGCTCCTCTGGCTGTCTTGTTGGGCTGGAAGCACCTGAGGCAGTAGACCAGGTGTGCGGCCTGCAGGAGCCCTGCAGGGCGGTCCTCACCCCGCTCCTCTGCCTTCCTGGGTCGGTGTTGGTGGCGTCCTGAGGCCTGGCCTCTGCTGTCCTGGCGTTTGTCTGAGGCACTCGTGGGAGAAAGGCCTCAGCCCCGTGGCCGTAGTCACAGTGGCTGGAAATGAGGTCCTAGGTCACTCTGAGTGCAGACCCGGTTCTCGCACAGCTTCCCTGCCTCTCGGACTCGTCTGTCTGGTGCGAATGAGCGGAGGAAGCACGTGGAGGGGAGCGGCCAGGACTTGTCGCCTCCTCCTAGACAGCCAGGGAGTCCCGTGGGCTGGGGCAGTGGCCTCACCCTTGCAGGAGCTGCCTTTCGTCCCTGGGGGTGACCTGGCCAGTTGGCACTTGAGTCACCACTAGGAAGGAGGTGTATCTAGGGTCAGCGCTGCCCCCCAGGCCTTGGAGTCCTCTGAGCCGGGAGGCTGCTGTGTCCCATCGTGGTTCATCGTTTTCTGGTACGAGCTTGTGTCCCTAACTTAGTTCCCCAGTGCATCCCAGTGCTCCGACGCTGTCCAGCACGGAGACCATGGGACACAGCCTGAGCTGAGCTGTCCCCTAAGGGTCAGGTGCATGGGAATTTTGAAGACTTCATTTAAAAAAGAGTTAAGCACGATTAATGAAATGGTAGCGTTTTAGATATACTGGATTAGATGAAACATAGTTTATAATTTCACTTATTACTTTTGTAAACATGTAGCTGCTCTAAAATTGAAATTCCATATGCAGCTCGCATTGTGTTTCTGTTGCACAGCTCTGTTCAGGGACGTTAAGAGCCAGGCCTGGCCCTTCTGAGTGGGGTCCTCAGTGTCACAGGCAGGAGCACGTCCAGGCCCCTGCGCCAGGTCCGCCGTAGGTCCCGTGCGACCTTCCTCTCAGGAGCAGCTTCCTGTGTTCTCAGTTGCTGGCTCGGATCTTCTGGGATCAAAGTGGGGCGGGGGCAGAATGAGGGGCTTGCGGGCTGTCCGGCCCCTCCCGGGCTGCCGGAGGACGGCGGTGTTGCATGGAGGACGCAGGCACATGCCGGCCGGGCCAGGGGCGGCAGAGTCTGGCCTGGGCCCGGCATGCTGGGCAGGGCCTTGGTGTGGCCTGGCACTGTTCTGGGGAGCGAGCTCACTCCCCGGGGATCTAGGAATTGTCTGCTTTCCCAGGCCGGTGCCCCTCCCATTCCTCCGCTTCCCGGAAGGCCCTGGGCAGGTTTGTGGCTTCTTTCTCTGGCCCAGGGGCCCGTGAGACCCACATACTGAGCGACGCGGCTGGCAGCGTCTCCCGGAGACCCTACTCCCTGCCTGGCGCCTGTCCCTGATGCTGCCCGCTGTGACCCATCGTGCCCCTGGCCCTGCCCCGCCCCTCTCCCGCCTGAGTCCTGTAGCCACCCTCCCCCTTCCGCTCGCTGGGCCTCTCCCCTCTCCCCTCTCCCCACACCTCCATCCTTAGCCAGACCTGGCTCCGAGGGCCCCACGGTGCGGTGCGCGGCTCTCTGCCCAGTGTCCTGCTCTGTCTCTGTTCCCGCCAGCGCGGCTCTCCTGGCCCTGCTCTCTGCTCCCTGGCTGCGCCGCGGGTGCTCAGGGGCATCCGACCCCGCTGCCCGGGGCCCTGTGCAGCCCGCACGGAGCTCCCTGCGCTGCCAGGGGCTTCCTGCTTCCCTGCCAGCCTCACTCGGTGCTCGAGTTCTGGGTGGTGGGTACACTGGAGGTCCTGAGGAGACCCCCCGACCGGAAGTGGTGCCAAGAGAGGAGGCTGGGGGCTCACCCCGCCTCGTGTGCAGATGAGCCTTGCATCGCTGCCTCTGCGCCTCATGGAGACAGCTCCGCTGCGGGCGGACCGGTGAGGCCGGGAGGGGAGGTCGTGTGTCTCGGGCTGGGCAGCGCAGCAGGGCCCCAGGCGCTCGCCCTCTTCCTCCCTTCCTCTGTCCCCCGCCTGCTGTCACTCACTGCCCCCTCCGCGCAGGAAGAACTGGAGCACCTGAACCAGGCCAGCGAGGAGATCAACCAGGTGGAGCTGCAGCTCGATGTGAGTGTCTGTGCCGCACCCGGGCTGTCCGGTGGAGATGGGAGGAGGGAGGGGCGCTCAGGAGACGCGCAGGGTCTGTCCCTTCTGCAGGAGGCCAGGACCACCTACCGGAGGATCCTGCAGGAGTCGGCCCGGAAGCTCAACACGCAGGGCTCCCACCTGGGCAGCTGCATCGAGAAGGCCCGGCCCTACTACGAGGCGCGGCGGCTGGCCAAGGAGGTGCGGCTGGACCCCGCGGGTGATCGGGCGCACACGCAGTCCGCGCGGGGCAGAGTCCGCCGGCACTGGGCCCACCGCGCAGGCGCAGGGTGTGCAGGGCTGCGGCTGGTGATTTACTTCGCTGCTGCGTTTGTTTTTACCTCGGTGGTGCTGGGGCTCAGACCCAGGCCTCCTGCGCGCCCGCCCTCCCACTGCTGGGGTCCTGGGGCCCGTGTCCGGTCAGGCCCTCCGCGGGGGAGTCACGTGGCCAGCTCCTTCGCCGTCCTCTCCGGTTTTTCCGTCTCCCTCTGTCCTCCTCTTCTGGTTCTCGTCCCTTCTTTTGCTTAGTTCAGCACGCGCACGTCCGATGGATTTCATGCCCAGGCCTGTTTAAGGCCGTGCGGCAGGCAGCGGGGACCAGAAGAGCACTCTCCTTGGAGACTTCAGGCGGGGACGTGCCGTGCCGCCAGGGCGGGCCGGGGGAGTGGCGGTGCCTACCGCAGGCTCCCTCGGGATCCCCGGGGCTCCCCACTCAGCACCCTGATGCGCCCTGCGGGCCCTCCTCAGGCGCAGCAGGAGACGCAGAAGGCGGCGCTGCGCTACGAGCGGGCGGTGAGCATGCACAACGCCGCGCGGGAGATGGTCTTCGTGGCCGAGCAGGGCGTCATGGCCGACAAGAACCGCCTGGACCCCACGTGGCAGGAGATGCTCAACCACGCCACCTGCAAGGTGGGCCTGCCGCGCTCGGGGCCTGTTTCGCCCGTGGCTCAGGGCGCTGCTCGGGTGCTGGCCGGACCCAGGCGGCTTCTGTCAGGTGCAGCCGCGCGGGCCTTGGCCCCGAGGGGCGCGCACGTCTCCATCTCCATCTCCGTTTCTCAGTGTTGCGTTTACTGCACAGTTAGCACGTAACGGATTACCCTGTGGTCCCAGTGTGTGGTGGGATGCCGATGTGCGGTCCTGCCTCAGAACCCGGGGAGAGCCTTGGCCAGAGGCTTCCTTTCCCGCCTGCTTCGGAGCTTTGGTTTCTGAGGTGTAACCGTGTCATTCCACCTGCAGCCCGCGCCCGCCCGAGGCCGGGTCTGTTCCTCCTCCCAGCTCCGAGGACAGCTGGGGCCTTGTCGGCCGGCTCCGGGTGCAGGCGGGAGAACGGTGGGCCGGTGTGGGCAGGTGTGGGGCAGCAGGCCCGGGGCAGAGGTCCCGGGAGACCCGACTTCAGGACCGCTCCTCCCGCGCATGGGGTTTGTGGAGGGAGGCAGCTCAGGCGGCGCCCGGACCAAGGTGCGGGCTCAGGGGTGGCCTCCCCTCCCACGCTGGCAGGTGAACGAGGCGGAGGAGGAGCGGCTGCGCGGCGAGCGGGAGCACCAGCGGGTGACGCGGCTGTGCCAGCAGGCGGAGGCCCGGGTCCAGGCCCTGCAGAAGACGCTGCGCAGGGCCATCGGGAAGAGCCGGCCCTACTTCGAGCTCAAGGCCCAGTTCAGCCAGATCCTGGAGGTAGCCCGCGGGCGGGCGGGTGTTCGGGCGGGGCTGGGACCGCGGTCTGCGGCTGGGGACCCACGGCCCCGCCTGCCCGCAGGAGCACAAGGCCAAGGTGACAGAGCTGGAGCAGCAGGTGGCCCAGGCCAAGACCCGCTACTCGGTGGCCCTGCGCAACCTGGAGCAGATCAGCGAGCAGATCCACGCGCGGCGCCGCGGCCTGCCCCACCCACGGGGCCCCCGACGCTCCTCCCCGGTGGGCGCGGAGGCGGGGCCACAGGGGCTGGGGGAGGCAGACAGCGGGACCGAGGGTGGCTCGGAGGAGCTGGGCCTGGGCCCCGGGCCGGGTCCCGACACGGACACGCTGAGCCTGCTAAGCCTGCGCACGGTGGCCTCCGACCTGCAGAAATGCGACTCCGTGGAGCACCTGCGGGGCCTCTCGGACCACGCCAGCCTGGACGGCCAGGAGCTGGGGCCCCGGCCCGGGGGCCGCCGGGACAGTGACAGCGGGGCCCGCGGGGGGCGCCACCAGCGCAGCATCAGCCTGTAGCCCTCGGCCGAGGCTGCAGTGTCCTCCAGGGCTGCTCCGCGCCTCGGCTGTGTCCTGAGGCAGGCGCCGCACTGCCCAGGGAGAGGTGTGTGGCCTGCCCTCCCCCGGCCTCAGGGCCTCCACCAACCACCGGCCTGGCTGCGCCTGTGCTGCCACCCCAGCTTCCTCTGCTGCTCTCCTTCCGTCCCACTGCCCCTGGGGCCCTGGTCTGGGAGACACAGGAGGCTCCACGGAGGAAGTGGACCCAGCCTGCGGGTGGACAGGTGGCCGTGGGTGCGGGGCCCTGGGCCTCCTGGCTGGTGGCCGCGTGTGACCTGCAGGATGGATCGCCTGCCCTGAAGGGAGGGAGCCGAGGACGCAGTGCCGGGGCGGGTGAGGGGCTCTCCTACTCCGCCCTGGCCCTGTGAGGTGGTCCGGGCCCAGCTGTCCTGTACTTAAACTGCCACGGTGCTAGCTAGCGGAGGGGTGGCACCTCCGGCAGTGGCCTTGGGAGCCTGGTGCTCGGCACTCCCTGGAGCGAGTGGCGCCCTGCCCTACGGGGGTCCCAGGGCCGAAAGCTCGTCCCTGCCCCCTGCCGGATGTGGGGGGCGTGGCCAGTGAGGGTCCCCGCCTTCTCCAGGGCCGAGGTGCTGGTCAGGAGGCTGTACTGGGCGGGCCGGGCGGTGCTTGCGCTTTGGGAGAGGTGCTTCTCCCTCCCAGGATGGGCCCACGTCCGACAGGGTCGCGCCTGGTTTCGGGGCGAGGGGTGGTCACAATGAGAACCTCGGGTTTGAGGTGGCCGAGGGGGGAGAGGGGGCAGGGACTCGGCGTGCGTGGGAAACGGTCTCCCCAGTTTATTTAAATAAATAGTTTATGTAAGAGTGATGTTCCCCGCGTGCAGGGGTCGGGGCCAGCTGAGGGCAGAGCGGCCTCAGGGTGGGGCAGGGGGCGTGGTGTGGAGGGAGGGCCCGCATGACCTGACCTGGCAGGCCGGTGCCGATGCCAGGTCTCTAACGCCAACGCCGTTGCCAAGGAAACTGCTAGAGTACAGGGCCGGGGCTGAGGCGTGGAACGGACGTTTGACCTGAGATGCCTGACTGCAGCTGAGTGTCAGCATATTCATGAATTTCTCACCCCTTTCCTTGGTAAGAAGCTACAGAGTCACAGTAAGTCCTAGGGGCTGACCCTACTGTCAGCTACACCCTCAGGCTTTTTTGTTTTTTGAGATGAAATCTCTAAATTGCTCAGGCAAGGGCTGGGATTTAGCTCAGTGGTTTCGCCGCCTGCCTCGCAAGCACAAAGACCCGAGTTCTGATCCCTAGTACCAAAAATAAATAAATAAATAAATAAATTAATTGCTCAGGCTGGCCTGGAATTCTCAATCCTCCTGACTTAGCCTGGTATTGTCAGTTTGGGTTTTAAATTTTTTTTTTTTTTGAGACAGTCCACTGTGCATCCCAGCCTGGCCTTGAACTCACAGCAATCCTCCTACCTCAGCCTCCTGAGTGCTGGGATTACAGCGTAATGTGCAGTTCTGAGTAGGTGTCCAGAGATGACGCCACCCTGTCCTTGGCAGGCGGGCCCTGCAGCAGCCAGAAGACCGGTGCTGGGTTGAGCCCTGTGGCTGCTCCTCGGCAGGCTAGCAGATGGAGGGGAGATGGGGCTGGATCTGGCGCCGTCTCCATGGTGATGAGCCGAAGCCAGCATGCGCCCTGCCGTCTTGGGTGGTAATGGTCTCTGTCCTGAGGCCTGCACTCGGGCCTGGCCTTGATTTCCCCTGTGCCCAGCCCAAGCTTTGCACAGTAACAGTGCTGTTGCCCTCTGTGGTGCTGCACCCAGACTACATACAGTAGGGACTGGATCAGTGCAGCAGCTGAGAAGCCGGGGTCTGGTGAGAACGCAGCCCCTCGTCTCCAGGAAACCACACTACACTCCCACCTAAAATGGGGCAGTGGACAGCTGTGGTAGTGCATGCCTGTAGTCCCAGCACTCAGGAGGCTGAGGCAGGAGGATTACCGTGAGTTCAAGCCCAGCCTGGGCTACATATGGAGACCCTGTCTCAAAAAAAAAAACCTAACAGAAGAGAGACAATGTACGTGTGCACAGGGCTCCGACTGGGTTCCAGCTTTGAGGCCTTGGTTGCAGCGCTATGTAGTTCTGGGAGGTCAGCCTGTGGAGGCCCTGTCCCATCTTGTGCTGGACTGGAAAGCTCTGTAGCAAGGCTGCATTTCCCGTGTCTAGGTGTGACTGCGATGGCCTTCCAGCTCCACAGCCCTCTGCAGAGCCGGTCAGCAGGAGGCAGCAGTCTCCTGCATGTGGGAGTGACCTGGTGCCATCTGAGTCCACGCCCTGGCTGCAGGGTGGCAGTGTTTGCCCTGCAGACGCACAGGCCTTCCTGGGCTGCACTGCAGAGGCGCAGGCCTAACCGAGGAGGTGAGGAGTCACTCCAGGACAGGCCAGGACACACCTGGCCCCGGAAGCCCAGAGGGCCCGCACCACCTGGGACCCGCCAAGCTGGGTGTGGCTGGCTGTTTGAGATAAGGTAGCTGGGCAGGCCTGCACCCAGCGAGCACTAGGAGGGGCACCACCATTAGGAAGTATTCACAGAGTAAATACAGGTCATCGGGGCCAAGCCCCAGGCTCGGGAATGAAGAGTGCAGCAGGTGATGGGTGGGCGGGCTTAGTGAGGAACCTAGGTGTGACGGGAAACAGTAAAAGCTAAGTGACTGCAGGGGGCTGCTGACAAGGCAGGTGCCTCTGCTGGACTGAAGGGCTGTCCAAGCCCAGCAGGGTGTGGGTGGGAACCCCTCCCTCATCTCCAGGAATCCACCATCTTGCCTGGGGCCTGTGCTCCCCGGCATCTGTCTGCTGACTCGATACTCCATACTCCCGTGCTCATTCGCACTGCCCTCCAGCCCAAGCCCTTAGACTGGTGCCTGTGAGTTGAAGCCCAGCTCCAGTGGGCTTCTGACCAAGGGCCTGGTCGTACTCCAGTCTTCGTGAGTCCCAAGGCCCCCCAGGCTCTGTGACTTTGGAAGTGTTAGGGTAGTGTTGCAGACGGACCTCCCCTGTGTGTGATGACTATGTGGCGAATAATCCGGGTAGGAGTCGGATGGGGCAGGTGAGGCCCGGTGGTCCGGGGTCTGTGGCCACCCCATTGAGGTACTCAGCAGACATCTACTGGCTTGGGAGCTCGGGTGGAAATGCTGACCGCCCCGTCCAGAGGTGGTCTTCGCCCTGCCTCTGGCCCGTTCGGCTGCTCTGGGCTGGAAGCGTGGCCAGACTGGGTAGGCGCCCTCTCAGGCTCTCCCAGGAGTACTAACCCGCAAGGTGGTGGGGGTTCACGGGGAGCTCAGCAGGTCAGAGTGTGAGAGGCTGTGGGGGCAGCAGAGGGCTGTGTTGCTGCTGCTGGGAGGCCAGGTGCGAGGGTCCACTGTGGGGAAGTCGCGGGCCAGTGGATTCTCCTTCCCTGGGGTTTGCGGGCCACCACAGTGTGAAGAAACAGTAGTTTATTTACGTACGGTAGGGACGGAGGAGGAGGGGTGAAGCATCAGTTTCTTCCCTGACAAGGAAAGAGGAGTATTCTGAAACTAGGATGGAGGGGAAGGGCAGGCTGTGAGGCTTGGAAGAGAAGGGTTCAGCTCTGCTTCGTCTCTCTAGGCCAGCTGTCCATCCATCTGTCCGTCCATCTGTCCATCCATCCATTCATCCATCCACCCATCCACCTGTGCATCCATTCACCCACCCCTCTGTCCGTCCATCTATCTGTCCATTTTTGTGTGCATGGTACTGGGAATTTGAGCCCAGGGCCATTGGACCAAGCTGTATCTCCAGCCCTTTTTTATTTTGGACAACTCTTGCTGAGTAGCACAGGCTGGGCTCCAACTTGTGGCCCTCCTGTCTCAGCCTCCCAGAATGCTAGGATTACAGGTGTGTGCTACCAAGCCAACTGCTCTTTGATTTTAATAATTCATTCTGCAAAACCAGAAATATTTATTTTGAAAGATGAGAAGGTGTGGTCCACCTGTTGGGAAGGTGTGCTTAGAAATGCTTTTCATCTACAAGGCAGAAGAAACATGGAGACCCTGAAATTTCACATTGCCACTCAAAAGAGTGATTGCTCTCCCTTCTTGGGTTTATAAAAGCTAAAACTGAGGAAAAGGTTTTGCAGATGTTTGAACAGGGCTAAGCCTTAATTTTTCATTTTCTTAGGGTGCTAGGGATTGAACCAGGCCTTCATTATCTACCATTGAGCTACCCGCTCCCCTGCCCTGCCTAAGCTTTTAAATCAGTAAATTACTAGGAATTCTGATTCCAGAAGTAATACATACTTCAAAATTCACACGGAACCAACTGGGAGACATGGAAAGTGAAGCCACTGCAAATCCCCTGTGGGACCCGTCCTCCCTCACCTGAGAGAAGGCGTATTTAGCCTTCTCCATTCCAAGTCTTTCCTTCTGTATAGATACAGAACACACCCTTGGGGCCGGGGATTTAGCTCAGTGGTTCAGCCACCTGCCTTGCAGGCCCAAGGTCCTGAGTTTGATCCCTGGTACCAAAAAAAGAAAACACACACCCTACCCTGGCTCATAGTACAGTGTTTTACCACTTGCATTTTATAGTTAATATCCCTGTGATATCTTTCACTATCAGGGTTTGTTGTCTAGATGTCAGTCTGTCATTAAATGACCTTTTAAAGATAGCGGAATGACTGCAGAAGTCATTCACACGCTATGTTATAATTCTTAACAAAAAGAATCCTAAAACACAAGCACTTAAATAATCTCTATGTTTCCACCAGTGTGGAATAGTTCACTTCCTTTCCACACAAAATAAACTGCGTGGTTGGGGAGGTTACTCTCTGTGTTTATTCAGAGAGCTTTGTTAAGCCTACCTGAAAAGAATGAAAAATTTAGATGATTAATTCATTTGCACTCAGAAACTAATTCAGTGTCCTACAAATATATGCTGCGATCAGTTATGAAAGGATATGTCTTAGTCTAGAGTGTCAACCACATAACAATAAAAATTGGATAAATAATATACCTGATATCCTGAAAAACCTAGAAATTAAAATAAAACACTACCATTTAGACTTCATTCTACTGGGTGGCAAATACTACTGGAATTCAGTGCTGATTGCTTACCTGGTTAACGTCACACACTCAGGGTGGTAAGGACACAACACGCCCCTTGTGGAGTTGGACCAGGATGTGATGTTTTGTTTTTGTTTTTTGCTTGAAAGCAGTGTCAATGTAGCACATGGGGAGATTTGTCCACTGTTTCAGTACACCACCTGCGGGTGACCAGATGTCCAGAGGAGTAGACACTGCAGCGGTGTTGCAATCTGCACAGATTTTGCAAAGCCTGTCCCTTGCGGGTGCTGTCACAACTGTTGAGTGACAATCTCTGCTGAAAAGCCTGATTGAGGCACGTGTGTCCCTCACCGCACTCACTGATCTGCAGCCAGGGTCACGAGTGACCGACGGTTCCACTAATCTGAGTGTTTCCTCCAGGACTTTTACTGTCCCCTGAACAACTCCCATTCCTTACAGCTCCTGTACCGCAGCACTTCGGAAGATGGTACTGTCAATTCTTTTACTTACTGATGGTGTTTTTTTCAGCAGTTTTATCTGGTTGCTCTTCAATTAAATGAGTTAAATGAATGTTTACGTATTCTTGTGCCTTCTCTTCTAACAGGTATTTGACCCTGGGTCCCACTTAGCCTGTTGTTTCCAAGAGTCTTCCAGGGTTTCCAATCAGTCCTCCTCCCCCCACAGTGAAGCACTTTGTCACCTTTGCCTGAAGTATAGACTCCAGTCCTTGCAGGCTGCTCCTTGCTAACCAAGAATATCCACATCCCAGAGGAAAACCTGGGCTT